GGAGACTGTAAATAAAACAAACATGAAAAAGTTGCCGACCCTACACAAGAATGCGGTTGCTTTTCGATTTAATATACAGAAAAATGCCTATTCTTTTCGGTTTGTTGCGCATTTCCACATTTTACGCAGTTATGCAATTTGCGGAGTTCTTTTTCCTATTTTTATATGTTTCATTTAAATTATCGTGTTCTTTTTTGTAAAACATTAGTTTATTTAAATATTTGTTCCTTGTAGGGCAAACGTGATTTGAAGGGCCCCCTAGATATCTATTCCCCCCACCCATCTGCTTAAAGTATTTTGTGGTTTAGCGTTTAATTCTTGGATAGTGAGCGTAAATTAATATGTAATTGTGGCGGAATTGATCAAAAAATATTAAATTAAATATGAGTATGCTTGTTTTAATATGATAAATAGATTTAAATTCAATCAACATAAGCCTCTATTGCATAGAATACGAAAGCTAATCGAGCGAAGTTGACCTTGTGTAGGCGGAATTTAACGAAAATGAAAAGTCGTCCTCCTTTTGGTGGAATTTAACGAAAAAAATGTAAAGTCAGGCTACCGAACGTTTGAAAGTAGTTTTTTTTATTATAAGTGGACGGGATTTTTCGGCTTCTATAATTATTCTTGCCTGCGAGTTCATATTGGACAACAGTAAAAGACAACAGTAGTTTAAGTAGTGCAACTCATATACCCCAAGTTCCAGCATTTTTTCCTATGGAAAAGCGGATTATAGGAATTTTATTGGGGGGGGGAATTAGGATAAGCAGTGGAATATACTGGTATAACTGCTATATGTCCTTTTATTTTATTGAGAAATGTTGTTGATTTATATCCATATATTTTCCTAATCTGTATTATCGTTTAACGTACTGCGAAAAAATGGCTATCAAAATGCAGGTTTCTTTGAATTCCTGAAAAAATGTAAACGACTCTTAGGAGGTCGTCTATTTCAACTTCTCTGAGGTCCAACTTACCGTTCTGGAGTTAGACTAGTTAGCGCCGCGCACACCAATTTGCACGGGAACAACTTACTCCCAGCGGCCCCGGGAAACAAGTTCAACTACATTTTTTTCTTTTTACACTTACTGTTACAAATATCCTTCAGTGCCTGTCCTATTTCCCCACCCCCTACACCCCTATAACCACCATTGCCATAGGACAAACTGTTGGGACTAGGGGGCATATGAAGTGCACTACTTAAACTACTTTTGCCCAGTAAACTGTTTGAACACCAGCATAACTATAGACGGAAGCAAAATGTTTTGGTTCATGTTCTTCGGCACCTCTTGGAAGTATGCTCAATTTTCTGTATCCAAGCTCAAGACAGTCGAAGAAAGAGACGTATGGACGAAGACTACTCTGAACTGCAAGGGAGTTAGACTTAACAGTGCACTTAGGTTTTTTCCTTTTTCCTTTTTCGTCTCGTTTGCTTATGTACAGGTTGAGGAATTTGCGCAGGTCCATACGCAGACGAGACGAGGGACAAAATCTGACTGATTCCAAATTTTGGCCAGCGCTTCCGTACGCCGGGAGCGTTATTGAGGTCGTCAGTCACCCTCTCGTACCACGTGAAGTTGGACTCGTCCACAGACTGGCGGCAACTAGTAACGGGGCCAAAATACCCACTACTAAGAAAAGATACATATGCAGTTGCATATCGAATCCGGTACGGTTGCGGGCAGAGCAACAGTGTCGGAGAAACTGGAAGAATATTCTGGACGCGAGTGGCCGAACACGCGACAACAGTGGGGAGATATGTCGCCAAAACTGCAGTCGCAGCTCAGTCAACGAAATCCGGCTACACATTCAAATTTGATGAGGCTGAAATTTTCGTGAGAAGTAACTGTCGCAGGAGTCGTCAGCTCCATGAGACATCCTTTATGGGGCTCCAGTGTATAAGCAAGTGCAGTGACCTCTCTACCCTTATATTTGGTACTGACCCTTAGTTTGCCTAAAGTCGTTAATTTCTCGGGGAGCGTGCAGATGAACGTTGTTTCCAATGTCAGTATCGGTGAGCCTGATAGCCGAGCAATCATCACGTTAATACCCAACACGGGTGATGAAATATCAACAGTTAGCGACTTGTATACTGACCATCAAGCAGTCATCGCCGGTAACTATCACAAGTATGTGGTGACATAATGACTGCATCCTATAACTATCACAACTCCCTGTGTATGCAGTACCTGTATCTGATGATGGGTCGAAGCGCGAATTCTTAAACGTTTCGCGAATAAAGCTGCAGCTCAACAATCGCGTCTAACTCTCCTCAGTTACTCCCTTCGACTCGCGTTTTCGCTTACATGGACCACCCAATCTCTAATTCCATACACA